GATTTTAAAGGAAGAATTTCTTGATCTATTCAAAGATCAAATTCAATCATTGACTCTAATTGTATATAATGCTACTGTAGAATATTCCAATTTATACAATTTACTGAGCGATTTTACTTCTCTCGTTACTTTTCAATACGATATTCGTTCATTGGATTCTACTTTTACATCTTCATCAACTCTAGATTTGAATCTAAATCATATCAATTTTTGCGAAAACTACAGTTCATTCAATAACTGCACGATATTAAAAGCATTAAATCTAACATTTCATGATCAAAGTACACTATCACCTGATGAACATTATTTTTTAACAGAATTTCTCAGTTCGTTACCAAAATTAGATACATTAACTGTCTTTACTGATGACACAAAAGCTGTAATTCAACAGTTAAAATCACTGTTTTCGAAAAAATCTTCACGAAAAATGACTCAATTCTACATTGAAGATCTTCGACAGAATGATCCAAAAGATCACTGCCCACGACATCCACCAATATATGACACAACACTGATCTACGAACTATCACAACTTTTTCCGAATCTCAATACTTTAACATTCCCATGTCATACAAAATTCATTAGCGAATATCCAACAACATTAACTATATTTCTTAAACAATTACAAAATCATCTTCCGAAATTGACACATTTTACATTAAAACTGATGTATCGGAATCGTGACACATATGATAATTACATTAAAAACTTGGACGAATGTTCTTGGTTATATTATACCACAACACGTTGTTTATATCCAGATTATAATGGTAGTTGGTATGAGGCACATGATCTTCATATTTGGTTGTAATTGGCTATTACATAAATTTTGTCTTTGAACATATCTAAATTATTTTCTTGTAAATCTTTAAATAATAATATTAGATTTTAGTACAATTTCATTTGTCTAAGCATAAAAGTGAATTATTTTATCTACTGGTTGAGATGTTCACATTGACTTGTAACTAGGTAAGATGAGATAGACATTTTATTTTATATGGGAAGAAAAGGACGAATAATGCAGACACAAACAGTTGAAAATGATGGTAAGAAATGTAAAAATTGAAATTAATCTTCGCATTGATATATATTTTAGAAAAACAACGAGAATCAAGTCGTTTAGATTAAAAATACGGAACGATTAGAGATAGACTGTTGATAATCATTTTCACTAATAATACCATTTAAATCGTAATGTATATTTATAGAGTGTGATTTATTATAATGGTACCTGTGTTATTAGTTTATTTGGTATTTTATTGAGTTTTTCTTTCCTTCTCCATATCACTTCCGTATCAATAAGACACGGAAAAAAGAATGAGAATCTATTTTTTATGCTCTATCAATTGGATCAATATCTTTTGGATGCGAGTGTGAATGCTCAGTGTTTTCAGTATTGCTACTGACATCGCATATTTTATTATAGTAATAATTTATGAGTTTTTACATGAATAGAAAAAAATTATGTTTGTACTTCTTCACTTAGTCTAATTTGTTGTTCTTCAGCATCTATTTTGTTCTGGAAATAGATACTTAAAGCATTCAAAATTTTGTTTGCATCTTCCTTGACTATATTTGAAACTGAACCTTCTTTTTCATAAAGTTCCTTGTATACTTTATGTGTGTGTGTCCGACCAAATAATAATAATTGTAGATCAAGTTCATCGTGTAAGAAAGGTTCCTTAATTTTGTTTCGAAAGCAATCTGTGCGGTCAGTCCAATAGTCTTGATCTTCGATTGATGAACAAAAAATATTGATTTTTTGTAGCTGTGGTATATTTTCGAAATATGAGTTTATAATCAACCAGTCCATATTGTCCTCATAAGTAAATAATGTAATATTTTTTTGATCGTTACGGTCAATGTGTTGTTCGCAGTCGCTTGTATTTTCAAAAGGATGAAGGAATCGTATAAGTTTAGCATTAGGTAAGGAAATGGCAAGATGAGTGCCTGTCATATCGTAAAGTATGAGAGACAAAACTGTAGCCAACGGATATATAAGCTGATCAAATACAATGTCACTAAGAAATGGCATCTAAAAATAAACTATAATTCTATAAAGTAATAAATCTAGTCAAGAAATCAAAGATGTGTTAGTTATTTTACTTAGTGAAACATGTTTAAACAGAAAAAAAAGAAAGTGGCTTATTTTGATTGTTTAAAATTCCAAGCCTTTTTTACAAAGTTTGTGTGCTTTAGTAAACATCTCTTTAGCTGTTGTTGCATCTTTTTTGGTACTATAATCAGTACCTAATTTGTTGTAATGAGTAATAAGGTCATGTGTTAAATGTAAGCAAAGTTCAGGATAATTATCAATAGTTGTTTCATTTTTCGATGATGATTGCCCATAACGACAGACGATTTTAATATTCGAACGCTTGTGAAAATCAGCTACAATTGAATCGTCATAATCAGTATCAATAATCAGAAATATATGAGCAAAAGTTTCATGTTCGTGTAAATATTCACGAAAATCAGATAGATTGGCAAACACTGAGAACGAAGAAACAATTTCATCGAATAGATTTATTAATCTTTTCGTTTCAACGTCATCTTTTAATTTCGATTTCAACCAAATAAGTCTTGTTAGTGTAGAAGTCGATGTATTGATGGTAATATCACGACGAAAAAATCTTTGATGTGTCTTTTTCAATTCACTATGAATTCGACTGACTTCTTCTTTTTTTAGATTTGCTTTTATCAGATCACCAGATTCAGAATATGCTTTTGCTTCTTTGTTATAACATCGATATATCTCATCAGCCAATAGAAAAATGAGATCTTTGCCAGTAGCAAATCGTTCTTGATTATCAACTCTACTCTTATCTTCTTCCAGAATAAAAACTTTTTCAACTTGGTCAGGTTTACTTTTCATAGTAGCGGCAAATTTGCCACTAACAAAAAGAATGGTGATTTTCTTTGGCAGTTTATCAAAATCAAAGTCTGAATCATTTTCAAAATTGAGTATTGAATCTTTCGCCAACGAACACATTGTTTCTAACATAGCGGAAGCCAATTCATTTAAATGTGTTGAAAGATCGATAAGGACAAATTGAGTAGAAGTAGTAGCTAAAAGAAAACATATTATATCTTAATGGCCTGAATATGATTCTATCAATCCTTCATTGATTAAAATAAAACTTTGGTTAACTGAAATAGTTAAGGAATGATTGGAATAAGAAAAAAGTCGAATTTTACTTACGTAAGTTAATTATACTATCTTTTCGAGATATACGAGTCATTATACTTATAAAATAATTTCTTCTTGACCAAAAGTGTATAAATATGGACATAATACTAATGAGAGCAATTGTAATAAATATTTGACTCAATGTTCTTTTTGCAACTGTCTCTGTTCGAGCATCAAATAAACTTGTTGTGGAACAATTACATCGTCCAAACCATTTTGCTGATATTCGATCAATTTC